AGCCCAGAGAGGTAGAGTAACTGGCCAGAATCACACAGCTTGGATTTAAATGTAGGGTTTCTATTAATAGCAGGCGGGCCTCTTCTGAATGGGCCTCCAAGAATGGGGTGAACTTTACTATAAAAAAAATGTAAACATACAGAAGAGTTGAAAGAATTTTGCAGGAAATACTTACATACTCACCACTTACCCTTAATATCTTTGTATATATCTTTATTGCATGTCCATCTTTCTATCCATCTCCGAACCTACCTTTTTCTTTCTGTTCATTTCAAAAAAAGTTGCAGGCACCCCCTGAATATGTTAGCATGCGTATCACTAACTAGAATTCGGTATTTATTGTGGTTCTTTTTCTGTTGTTTTGGTGTAAATTTTACATATGATAAAATGTAAATACACATGCTAAGTGTACCATTTGAACTTTATATAAATGGATTCATACAGATGTATTTTTTTGCAGCTGACTTCTTTCACTCGGCATGTTTTCGAGGGTCATCCATGTGTTGTGTGTATCCGTAGTCTCTATTTATTGCTGCTATGCCATTCTGTCGTGTACCCACATCTGTTTGTCCACTCTTCCATCGATGGACCCCCAGACCAGTTTGGGGCTCTTATGAGTAAAGCTGCAAGAACATTCATGTACGGGTCTTTCTGTGGACATACACTTTCAATTTTTCTTGTGCGTACTTAGGCATGAAGTGGCTGGGCCATAGTAGGTGTATGTTTAGGTTTATAAATACTGCCTTTCCCCACAGTGGCTGCACCAGTTCACATTCTCACCAGTAACGTACAAGAGTTCTGATTACTTCCATCCTCTGCCATGTGACGTTGACAGGCCTTTTAATTTTAGCCCTGCTAGTGGTTGGGCCGTGGTATCTCATTGTGGTTTGAATTTGCATTTCCCTGATGACTACTGATGTGAGCACTTTTTCACTTGCTTTTTTGGCTATTTGCATGTCTTCTTCTTTGAGGAATCTTCAAACCTTTTGCCTATTTTAAAAATAAATGTGGCCCTGGCCAATTACGCTCAGGGGTTACAGCGTCGGCCCATGGACCAATGAGTCGCAGGTTCAATTCCGGTCAAGGGCACGTACCTCAATTGCCAGGTCATGTGGGAGGCAACCAGTCAATGTGGCTCTATCACATCGATGTTTCTCTCTCTCCCTCCCTCCCACTCTGTCTGATGATAAATGGAAAAATATCCTCAGGTTAGGAATTAAAAAAAGAAATAATAAATAAATTAACAAACAAACAAGCAAACATGAATGTGCTTGTTCTCTGTTCGATGTATGCTTTGCAAATATTTTCTCCCCACCTGAAGTCTGAGTAGTCATTTTCTGAATGAGGTGTTTTGATGCACACAAGTTTAAAGTGTGGAATGTCTGGTTTATTCCCCTTCTCTTGTATGGTCCTTGCTTTCTGGGTCTGATCTCGTTGGATTTCGCCCCCCATTGGAGAGAACGCTGGGAGGGGGAAACCCAGAACCCGAAGGAACAGGTGGAGTGGACAGTGGCCCAAGGGGGCACCAGGCGCGGAGCACGGGTTTTGTTGGTGTGACGAAGAACAGCCCTTCGTAAGGGAGTCTGCAGGGTGGTGTGGTCAGAAAAAGAATACCCTCAATATTAGGAGGTCGGACGGGATTCTTTGGGCAGTGGGAGCCACTGAAGGCTTCAGAGTAGGGAAGGATGTGATCACAAGACAGAGATGGCACATCCCAGTGATGCTGTGCCTGGGACAGTTTCTACTTGGTCATCCCGAAAGCAGTGTGTGCCTCCCCTGCCAGGGGGTGGGGTGCAGGTTCATCTCTGTGGGTCCTCCAAGACTCTCCTTGAGCCCAGAAGCCATCCAGTCTCCACTAGGACCTAATGGGCCCATTTCTTGCCAAAGAAGCTGTGGGTTGGTGTGAGCCGGTTGTTAGGCAGAAGCCCAGGGATGGTGTCCACATACCTGAGTTTAGAGCCAACACTCCCAGAATCCTTACAAGGACCCCTGCCCTGCCTCAGGATGACCTCACCCTCCTAGCTCCTGCCACCTCCCAGACTTCCCTGCAGTTTTTCTAGCCCAGATAACTGGAGGCCTTTGCTGATCCCTGTGTCTGGAATTTTTCTCTCCATGGCCCCTGACCATCATCGAACATACTCTAGGTCACTCATTGTCCTCGTCTATCAGCTGGCCCCTCCCCTAGTCCCCTAGATGAGGTTTGGGGTCTATTTTGTTGTGTTTTTGTTTTTGTTTCTTTCAATCATTTTGTTCTCTGCTGTAACCTAGTGCCTAGAACAACACCTGGTACTTGCAGGCCCTCAGAAAATACTCATAGCATGAACGAATGTGAGGCAGACCCCTCATTTCTCCCGGAGCCTGTTTGTTTGATCATAGCTTTGGTTCTACAGGAGAAAACGGGGACCCTTGTCCCAAAAGCCTGGGTCCCACCTAGGGCCACTTAGCAAATGGAGGAATCTTCCAGGCCACCCCCTGCCAATCGCACAGATGAGGACACTGAGACCCTGAGAGGGAACCGAGGTCTAATGCAGAAATGGGGGCCCACAGCTCCCCCCTCAGCTGCCATTAGAGCCCTAATTGGCCCCCAGGGGAGGCCCTGGGACAGGGAGGAGAGTTGAGGATGATCATAAAGCCTTTTGGTGCCAGATGATGTTTTTGGTTTTCAAGGGGGCATCAGAGAAACCAAATGGGCCCCAAAATGCTTGTTTTCTGGGTAATTCTGGCCTCCGCGGCTATTTTGGCCTTTTCCCCGTAGGAGATGCTGCAACCACACTTTAGGGCTTGGGAAGAGGTTGCATTAACATCAGCTGGGTTGCCCCCAACCTTGAGCTCCAAATGACACCCACCGGGCCTCAATTTCACAGCCTGTGGACTCCCATGGGGCTGCCCTACTGCCCCCGCCGGGCCCCATGGTGCCCACAACTGCCTGGGACTCTCCTGTTGTCTTGGTAACCAGGCACTGTCTTCTGTGTGGACCCAGAAGGCAGTTCATAAACACCCATGTGCATATACAGCATCCATGAGAGGGAGGGCTTCTCGGAGGATTTGGGGGTGGAGACATCAGGGGAGGGATTTTAGCCAAATGACGCTGACATGTCCCTTATCACACATCTCCCTGCTCAGGTCTGTGCAAAACCCGCCTGCTTAACACCACAGAGCTCTGCTGGACAGGTTTAATCCAGCACTTCCCAGCCTGCCTCCCCCACCCCAAACCACGCCAGGACCCCACCCTCGTCTCTAGGAAATGCTGTTCCCTCATCAGGACTTCTGGGTCCTGCTGCCCTCTGACCCCTCCCCCCCAGGAAGTAAGCCGGTCCACTCTTTTGTACCTTCCACAGGGTTCGTCCTGGCTCATCCCTCCCCCAGGCCTCTCCCCACAGCAAATGCCAACCCGATCACTGGTGCCCCTGGGCAACATCGCAGGGACCAGGGCAAAAGAGCCACACCTTCCTGGCTTTATCACCACCCTGTTTGTCTGATGAAGGTTTCAGCCCTGCAGACAGATTTCATTTTCAGGTAGGATGCAAACAGACCACCCAGCCTGCCTGACTCTGGATTTGAGACCCTGGAATCCGTGTGTGTAGGGGTGCAGGGTCCGAGATCTCTTCAGCTGGACCTCTGCTTTGGTGTTGCTGTTTCTTGAGCCTGTGACTCTCCTGCTTCCCCGACACTGACCTGTTACATCCTCATGGTGGGGGGCAGAGATGTTGACAGGGAAGAAATACAAGGGAGACTTCTGGAAATGTCTGTATCAGCTCATCTAATAGAAAAAATGCAAGCCTCATATGTAGTTTTACATGTTCTAGGAGGCACATTTGAAAAGTAAAAAGAAATAGCCCGGTTGGTGTGGCTCAGTGGTTGAGTGTTGACCCACGCACCAAGAGGTCACCGGTTCAATTCCCAGTCAGGGCACATGTCCAGGTTGTGGGCCTGATCCCCAGTGGGGGGCATGCAGGAGGCAGCCAATCAATGTTCTCTCTCATCGATGTTTCTCTCTCTCTCTCCCTCTCCCTTCCTCTCTCTCTAAATATCAATAAAGAAAAAAAAAATGTTTTAAAGAAAAGTAAAAGAAGTGAAATTTGTTTTAATAATGTCTTATTTAACCCAGTATATCTAAACTATTATTTCAAAACGTAACCAATGTAAACTATGATTAATAAGCAATTTTAGTCTTTTTTTTTTATATCAAGTGTTTGAAATCCTGTGCGTACGTCTCAATTGAAACCACCCACTTTAATTTTGTTGTATTTTTTTCAATTCTTGTTTACATTCATTATCATTTTGTCTTAGTTTCAGGTGTACAGCATCGTGGTTAGACAGTCATATACTTTACAAAGTGTCCCCCGATATTTCCAGCACCCACCTGGCACCATGCATGGTTATTACAATATCAGTGACTATATTCCCTAGGCTGTACTTCACATCCCCATGACTGTTCTGTAGTCAGCAATCTTCCTTCTCGTCCCTTCACCTTTGATCCAGCCCCCCACACTCCCCTTGCAAGACCACCTTTGTAAGACTCAGTTCCCACATGTAGCTACTGTGTTGGACAGGTCAGTTTCAATCCTGATCTGGGTGGTGGTCAACAGGTGTGGACAATGTGAAAATTTGTCTAACAGTCTAACTGTATACTAGAGGTGTGTGTATTTCACTGTGTGTAAGTTACACTTTCATGAAAAAGTTTTCAAAAGTCCTGCTCAGAGTTCTGTTCAAATGCCCCCCCCCCCCATCCCTGTGTCCCTGAACCCACCCTGGGTTGGGATTATCTACTTCCATCAGATTGTGTTCCTGACGCTTGCTCAGTGTTGTGCTACAGGGATTTGCGTCATGGATGTCTAACCAGTTTTATTATAAGCATCATAAAGGGAAGAGTTCATTCATTTTTTTAACTCCCCCAGGGCCACTGGCTTCTAGATGCTAAATAAGTGATCACAGTTGAATTGGACCCCCATTGGTTCACTGGGCTGCAGGAAGGGCTAATCATTTGATTCTGTTCTCAGTCCTATTCCAGACGTTGACGAAGGAGAGGAAGAGGAGGAGGAAGAGGGCATGGGGCCCTGTCTGCCAGTCACTCCAAAGAACTGCCTTTCTCCCCGGGGCATCAGCGTCCTGGAGAAGCTGGTCAAAACATGCCCTGTGTGGCTGCAGCTGGGTCTGGACCGGGTGGAGGCCGCCAGGATCCTGAACCGGGAGGTGACCGGGGTGAGTCGGGGTCGCTCCGTCTTGTGGCCAGTGGGACAAGCACAGCTCCAAGGAGCTGCTCATAGCTTTTCTTGCTTACGTTTATTAGCTTTTCAAGCAGGGGGATGTGTGGCTGGGGTGGGCCCTCTGGGCGTTTGGGCGCCTGAGCCATGACTGACGTTTGGAGAACTCAGCCAAGCCCGGTGGGTGTGGCTCAGTGGTTGAGCAACGACCCAGTTTGATTCCCGGTCATCGCACATGCCCAGGTTGTGGGCCAGATCCCCAGTGGGGGGCGTGCAGGAGGGAGTCAATCGATGCTCTCTCTCATTGATGTGTCTCTCTCTCCCTCCCTCTCCTTTCCTCTCTCTCTAAAATCAATAAAGAAAAAAAATATATATATTTTTTAAAAGAGAACTCAGCCAGATGTCTGGGGACTAGAGTATCAGAACCACATGGACCTGAGATATCATTTTACATCCCCTTATTTACAGAGGAAGATAAGGGGGCTGTGTGATGGGGCCAAAAGATTTCTTTGGGATCAGGCTCTGTGAGTTGGGCAAGTGGCTTAAATGTTCTGAGTCTCACCCTGGCTGGTTTGGCTCAGCGGTTAGAGCGTCGGCCCGCGGACCAGAGAGTCCCGGGTTCGGTTCCCGCTAAGGGCACGTACCTTGGTGGCAGTTTCTCCCCAGCCCCGGTTGGGGTTGTGTGGGTGGCGACCAGTTGATGTGTCTCTCTCATGTCGCTGTTTCTCTCTCTCTTCCTCCCTCTCTCCCTCCCACTCTATCTGAAGATAAGTGCAAAAATGTCCTCGGGTAAGGATTAAACTAAATTAATTAAATAAATGTTCTGAGTCTCCCTTTTCCCACTTTGAAATGGGGCCTTTAATAGTACTGTCCTCCCCGCAGTGTGGGCTTACACGGGGGAGACGCACAGGTGGACAGGAAAGAGAAGTCAGGGCTCACCAAGTGCGACCCCCACCCGCCCCCCACATTTTCTCTCACATGCCCATTCCCTTTAAAAAAATCAACAGTTAGCCCTGGCCGGTTTGGCTCAGCGGTTAGAGCGTCGGCCTGTGGTCCTGAGAGACCCGGGTTCGGTTCCCGCTAGGGGCACGTACCTCGGTTGCAGTTTGTCCCTGGCCCTGGTCGGTCATGCAAGTGGCAGCCACTCAATGTGTCCCTTTCACATCGATGTTTCTCTCTCTTTCTCTGTTCCTCTCTCTCCCTCCCTCTCTACCTGAACAAAAAATGGAAAAATGTCCTCGGGTGAGGATAAAAAAAAAAAAAAAAAAAATCAACAGTTATTTTGTTTAATTATAAAAGTGATAAACATATGTGTTCACTGTAGAAAATCAAGCTGATCAGAACTGATAAAGTAAAAAGAAGTATAAAGCTCTTTGCCACCAGTTTTGTTTTGTTTTTTTTTCAACTAACCCACTTCCCGCAAGTCTTTTTGGTTTTGTTTTTCTTTTTTTAATGAGGTGAAATTCACTTCACATAAAATTAGCCATTTTCAAGTGCACAGCTTAGTACTTCACAATGTTGTGCGGCCACCGTCGCTGTCTGTGTCCAGAACATTACCCCACCGCAGCATGACAGCCCTTGGCCCTTAAGCAGTCACCCCCACTCCCCTCCCAGGCCCCGGTGGCCACAGCTGCCTCCAGAAGTCACTTCTGCTAGAAGTGCATGTGTAAGTGTCCAGCCCTTTTCCATGGAGGGTCCCTCATCCATGCAGCCCGTGATCACTGAGTACTTACTGTTCCAGGCATCGTCAAGTCCTCCCCTTGAGTTAGCACAGTTTACCCTCACAGCGGCCCTCTGGGGTAGGAATTACTATTCGCCCATTTTCCAGATGAGGTAACTAATACAAAGTTGCATGATCTCCCCGGGTGACAACGGGAGTGCGTGCCCCGGCTGGACTGTGAACCGGGCCATCCGGGTGCCCCTGCACCGTACGGCACACACGCCTTCCCATAGCGCAGCACTGTGTCGGGGGGACAGTCCGGGCTCGTGGATTCATGGGGCTGAGCTGGTCCGTGGACTCATTCTGGACTAGAGAATCCATGGAGTTGGCAGTGCCTTTTGGACTTACTGAAACGTAGGGGGCCTCCAGCTCAGTCCAACCTGCCCTTGCGGCAGAACGGAGCAGTGGCGCCCCCTTCCTGCTCTTCCCTCGCACCCCCTCCCCGTGAGCTGCTGTGTTTTCCAGCAGAAGCACAGCCTAAGCTCGTGCTCTGATTAAAGGATTGGCCAACTTGTACGCACAGTTGCTCTTGGCGTGATCTTATTCATCCTCACAGCGATTTCTCTCTGGGAGGTGTCATAAGTGTCCCCGTTTCCAGATAAGGAAATGAAGGCACAGAGAATTCAACTCACTTGCCTGGGGTCACACAGCAGGAAGAGCAGAGCATACATGGTGTGGTCTTCCGGGATGCTGGGAAGACCCTTTGCTGCATGATGTCACCCCCACAGGACTGTCTGAAATCCCGCCAATGCAATGGCTTCCGTGTTTTTAAAGATACAGACACTGTGGGTGGTCCTCAGGCTGTGAGAGCTCATAGGGTCTTCCAGGATCCCCTCTACCCACCCCTCCTGGCACCAATGAGAGACAGTGCTTCCTGGAGTCTGGGACCAGTGGTCAGGAGACTGGGGATCCAGCCCCTTTGTCCCAAATATCTGTGTGACCGTCACCACTCACTGTCTCCTCTCCCTGCTTCTCTGATAAGGTGGGAACATACTGGCCCCCTTTTGATTGTTTTGTGTATCCAGAAACGAGGCAATCAAAAGCCACCTTTATTCATTCTACACCCGAACAGTGTTTTGTTTGTTTTCTTTTAGAAGTTTTAGATTTACAGAAAAGTTGCAAAGATAGTACAGAGAGTTCCCTTATACATTCCTCACCCAGTCTCTCCTATTGTTAACATCTAACATTAGTAGGGCACATTTGTGACCATTAAGAAACCAGTACTGCCCTGGTCAGTTTGGCCCAGCAGTTAGAGTGTCGGCCTGTGAACCAAAGAGTCCCAGGTTCGATTCTGCCCGAGGGCACATACCTCGGTTGCAGTTTGTCCCCAGACCTGGTTGGGGTCGTGCAGGTGGCAACCAATCGATGGGTCTCTCTCACATCGATGTTTCTCTGTTTCTCTCTCCCTCCCACTCTGAAGATAAATGTAAAAATATCCTCGGGTAGCCCTGGTCGGTTTGGCTCAGCGGTTAGAGCGTCGGCCTGCGGTCCAGAGACACCCGGGTTCAGTTCCCGCTAAGGGCACGGACCTCTGTTGCAGTTTGTCCCCGGCCCTGGTTGGGTCGTGTGGGTGGCAGCCACTCGATGTGTCCCTTTCACGTCGATGTTTCTCTCTCTCTTCCAATTTCTCCCTCCTACTCTATCTGAACAAAAAATGGAAAAATGTCCTCAGGTGAGGATAAAAAAAATTTAAAAAAATATCCTCAGGTGAAGATTAAAAAAAAACAGGACTGATACCTCAGTATTGACTAAAGCCCACCGTTTATTCACATTTCCTTGGTTTTTACCTGATGTCCTATTCTGTCCGGGGCTCCTATCCGGGGCCCATCTTACATCTCCTCATCAGATCTCCTTGTCATCATGTCACAAGGCTCTAACAGTTTCTCAGGCTTTCTTTGTTTTTGACAACCTTGACAGTTTTGAGTAGTACTAGTCAGAAATTATGTAGAATGTCCCTCAATTGGGAGTTGTCAGACGGTTAGATGTCAGATGGGGTTATTCTCATCACATCATGTCCAAGGTACATACTATCAGCTGACTTACCGCTATTGATACTGACCTTGGTCACCTGGCTCAGGTCATGTTTGTCAGTTCCTCCACTGCAAAGGTAGTCCTCTCTCCCTTTCATACTGTCGCCTTCAGAAGGAAGTCACTGTGCACAGCCCACTCTTAGGAGGAAGTCATGCTCCGCCTCTTCGATCATCTACATACATTATTTGGAATCCTTCTGCATAAGACATTTGTTTCTTCTCATTTATTCAATCATTTACTTATATCAATATGGACTCGTGGATATTTATTTTATGATTTGGGTTCCAATCCAATACTACTTTAATTATTTTGTTGCTCAAATTATTTCAGTGTTGGCCACAGGGAGTCTGTAAGTTGACTCCTGCGTCCCATTGGCGAACCCCCACTGGGTGTGGGTTTTGTTTGTTTGTTAGTTCATTTGGGGAGCCTTTCCTCGTGTTCTGTCACTACAAGGTGCTCCAGGCTTATCTTTATTTTCTTGTCCCGGTCCTAGAACCAGCCATTTCTCCAAGGAGCCCTCATTCCATTTACTGGAGAATAGTATCCGAAACCGAGATCACGATGCTTCGTGTCTTCATTGCTTCTAGGTCCAGATATGGTGTTTAATGACAGAGACTTATACGATTTCACTTTGCGCTGGGAGGGTAGCTCAAGAGTTGCGTGAACCTGAGCTGTGATGCGGGCCAGCCGTGTGGGAGGTTCAAGGCACCTTCCCCAGGTGTGAGTCCCAGGAATACCAATCCCGTTGCATATCAGGTAGTGGAAACGTCCGTGAAGCCCTTGTTGCCCTTCAGGGTGCTGGGCCGGGGAAGAGTTCCCCGCTAGCAGTTATTGCAGGTCTGCTCTGCGCCAAGCACCGTCTCTTGTCTTTCCAGCAGCCCCGCAGAACAGGGGCAGCTCTCTAGCTCATAAGAAGGACACTCAACTCTGATGGCAAGGAGCCTGGCCCTGAGGAATAGAGCCAGCTACTAAGTGACTGCCTTCAAAGCTTTTTTTATTCTTTTTTAAATCCTCACCCAAGGATTTTTTTTTTTTTAATTTATCAGTAGGGAGAAGGAGAGAGAGAGAGAGAAACATTAATATGAGAAGGACACATTGATTGGTTGCTTCCCGCACAACCCCAACCAGGGCCAAGGACCAAATCATAACCAAGGTAGTACGTGCCCTTGACTGGAATCGAACCTGCAATTCTTTGGTCTGCAGGCCAACGCTGTAACTACTGAGCCAAAGCAGCCAGGGCCTTCAAA